TGGCCCCCTCAAGCAGACAGTGTGTGCACCCATTCATATATAAGCTCTGTATACACATATACAACACAAACCCAAACAGAGGTCATGAGCCTGTGGGTGCCACAAAGCTGTGGTTCAATGATCAATGTCCTCTATAGGCTCAGGTATTTGAAAACTGGTCCCCAGGTAGGGGCAGTGTTTAGGAAGGTGGTGCATACTTGCTGGACAAAATGTATCACTTGGGGCAGGATTTAGCCATGCCCACCTCTAGACTGCGTTCCTCTGGTTTCCTGCTGCCGGGCCTCCCATTACGTGCACTGTTCCTCTGGAAAAGTACTCCAAAATAAACTCTTGCGCAAGTTGCTCTTGGTCATGGTGTTCTACTGCAGCAGCAACAAAGTAACCAATATAAATATTGCAGAAGGCAGAGCAGACACTTGTGAGAATCCCAAGTTCTTGGTGTTTCCTTTTCATAAGCAGTCTTCTCTCTAGGAATATTCATGCTTAACCTCTGTGTTAAAATCTTTTAACCTCCAACCCAGCTTCCTAAGATTCTTTTTTGCTTTTAAGTTAAACACTCTGTCTTCATCTAAGTAGCTGTCTCTAAGAAGCCCTCTGGGTGTTGCTGGTAACACAGAATTGTTTTTGCACTTTCTACTCACTGAAACTGACATAAACTTTCTCTACAGACAGATTTCTTTGGAGAAATGGCCTTGGCGAGAGGTCTACAAGAAACAAATGGGGTAAGTGTGAAAAGGAAGAAGCTGTCCTAGCAACCTGAACTCTGAGTAAAGCCTACAGGGAATAAAAGGCAGCCTACGAAGCCGAAGGAAAACGGTCGAAAAAGAGGAGACAGAGAGGGAAGTAGGCAGGGGGTCCAAATATATAAGATGGTGTAGAAGCCTAGACTGTCTCTAATCTATAATTGTGGTTCAATTTTATTTTTTTTTAAGATTTTATTTGTTTATTATGTATACAACATTCTTCTTCCATGTATGCCTGCAGGCCAGAAGAGGGCGCCAGATCTCATTACAGATGGTTGTGAGCCACCATGTGGTTGCTGGGAATTGAACTCAGGTCCTCTGGAAGAGCAGGCAATGCTCTGAACCACTGAGCCATCTCTCCAGCCCATGGTTCAATTTTATGACATGAAATGAATACCCACATTCAGTAGAAACTAAAGTTGAGATTTTGAATTTAAACTATAGTTCATATTTTAGATTTTTGTGACTCAAGGCAAATCTCTTAACTGTACCCACCTTGCAAAGTCAATAACCAAACTATATACTTGCAACACAGAGTGGCACAGAAAGAAAAATGGGGCACAGTGAGGAAACGATGGACCAAAGCAAGACTGTAGGTCCATGTCCTGTGCCTCAAACTTTTAATTTCAAAGGGGGCTTAGATGGGTCAGTCCTCCACCTCCTTGCTGACTGCAACATCCACTTCTTGTGCTATTTCCACACCCTGCATTAAGTCTTGGCAGATGTTTCATGGCTCTAGCATCTTCATGAACTGGGGTCTCCACTAAGGATTCATTTTCACTACAGGCAATGGCTTTTTAGGGCCTTCACTTTGTGCAGTGATTCCAGCCATGTAACAAGTTGCCTGGCTTCTCTCAGAGGCTCTCTGAAACCATTCAGGAAGAATCCAGGACCCCGCTCTCTCACACCTTTCATGACTCCAAAGCTACCACCACATAGAGAACTGCTGCGCTTTGCTGCTTGGCTGGGATGGATCCTGGGCTCCTGGGATCACAACTGCAGCAGCTTTTGTGAGCAGCTGCTTTCCAGGAGCAGAAACCTGAAACCCTTCTCTCTCACAAGTTGGGAGCTGGCTAGGTGAAGCCCATGGCACTCTACTTTGTCCTGGTGCAGAGCAGGAGGCTTCCCTAACTGTGCTAACCTCATTAACAGTTATCGCCTCTCTCCCAGCACAGCCTGGGCTGTAACATAAGCTGTCCAGCGATCCCTTTCTCTCCAAACTACATTTTCTATTTCCTTTTGCCTCACTGCTCTTTTTTATTATTGACCTGGGTAAGGGAAGTCAGTATCAATCACATCAGACTCAATGTCATGTACTCCTGAAGGTTTCTCTGCAAAAGAAATGAATCCAACTCAGGACACAGGCTGGAAATAGCTAGATTTTAACAAAACATCATAGGATTGGCTGAGTTAGTATTACAGTCCCTGTTTCCCTCAAGTCGGGCCTCCACAGTCTGCCTTACTCTCGACACTACAGCTAAACTCTGCTTATAGCACTCACCCTCTTATCTAGTCAAAGTCCCAAAGTCTTCCACATCCCCCCAAACTAAGCCAAACCCAACACGGCCAGGTTCTTCACAGCAACAGCCCACTCTCTGACACCAACTTCCGTCCCAATTACTTTCTGCTGCCGTGGTAAAACAGCACGACCAAAAGCAACGTAGGGAAGAGTTTATTTTGGCTTACGATTCCAGTGGGAGAGTCCATAATGGCAGGGGAGACAAGGCAGCAGGCAACGGGAACAGGAAGTGGAGAGATCCCGTCTTCAACTGAAAACATGAAGCAGAGAGAATGCAAACCAGAAGTGACAGTTATGAACTCTCAAAGCCTGCCCAAGTGATGTACCACCTTCCCAAACTGAGCCACTAGATGGGAACCAATGGTTCAAAGACCTCATCTTTGGGGTTCGTTCCTCAGTTGAACACATCAGCCATGTTTCTGGTGGCTTCTGGTGCTCTATCTCAGAGGGTCGCTAAGAAATTTAGATAAGATTACAGAGTGGCTTCTGATGATATAGGATTATAGCTAGGGCAGCGGTTCAGGTTGGTGTAAAATAAAAACACAGATATTTACATTATGATTCATAACAGCATCAAAACTGCAGTTATAAGTAGTACAAGGTAGTGTAAAGTTATAAATGAAAATAACTTTATGGCTGGGAGGTCACCATGAGGAACTGTATTAATGGGTCACAGCATTAGGAAGGTTGAGAATGACTGGTCTAGGGGAATTAAGATTTTTTACTCTAAGTAAAATTTCAGTCTTGGGTGCCATTCCTAGAAAGTATTTGGGAACTAGGAAGACCATAAATGCTTTTGCTTAAACATGGCTATTATTTTAGCATTCTCTTAGGAAAAATATATACAGCAGGGCGTGTTGGTACACACCTTTAATCCTAGTATTGGGAGGCAGAGGCAGGCAGAGCTCTGGGAGTTTGAAGCCAGCCTGACCTACAAAGTGAGTTTCAGGCTAGCCAGAGTCACTTGGTAAGACCCTGTCTTAAACTTTTGGGGTTGATTCTCTCCTCCCACCACGTGGGTCCTGGGGATTTAACTCGGGTCCTCAGTGTTATAGGGGGTAAAGGCCTTTGCTCATTGAGCCATCTCACTGCCCAGCAAGTTTTGTTAAAAATGCTGGCATTCTTGACTTTGACTTGACATAGTCTTCAAAAAGACCCTAGATGGAGGAGTTCTTTTCCCTTCCCAAGGCTGCATAATTTCCACTCTCGATCCTGCCACAGATTCATAGCAGAGCACCACAGGCCTGTTTCATAGCCATAACTAATTGCATAACTGTGTAGATAACTATCTTAATACAATATTGATCTCCTTTGCTTAGGAGGTAAATCCGTGTAGCCCGGTTCAGTCTCTTAATTGCCCATCAGCACATCTAATAGGAGTACACACAAAAAAACAAAACAAAACAAAAACCTTCACTGCACACCCAGCTATAATAAGGACAGTATTTTTAGATAATAGATTTAACATGGTGTTTTATTTTGAGGAACTTTCAGAGTTCTTCCCCGAGTACATAATGAAAGAGCACCCATCAACTTAAAATCTTAAGCTATAAATTCACTTCCATAAAGATCTGAATGTATTGAGAAGCACGTGACACTGGGGTAAAAACACATTTTCTAGGGATAAACAAACAAACAAAAAAACCGACTTAAAGCCAGGCGGTGGTGGCGCACGCCTTTAATCCCAGCACTCGGGAGGCAGAGGCAGGCGGATCTCTGTGAGTTCGAGACCAGCCTGGTCTACAGAGCTAGTTCCAGGACAGGCTCCAAAGCCACAGAGAAACCCTGTCTCGAAAAACCAAAAAAAAAAAAAAAAAAAAAAAAAACAACCCGACTTAGGTGGCTTAATTCATATTATTAACATAATGAAAAGAATGTCTAGGTCCAAATTTTCTTGTCGGTTCGTCCCACTCCGGCAATTTTTAACAAACATGTCCCCCACCACTGCCGTCAACAGCCTTAAGGCTTTCATCTCAAATAATTTGTGAATTTCTGTTGTAAAAGATTTTACAGTTTGAAAAGGGGGCTCTGCCTCGAACTTTCGTCTCATTATGCTACAACTATTGGTTTACACTTCACACCTCTATCTTACTCGTGTAGCTGAAGCTGGTCTCGAGCCCCCCTCCTGATCCTGCCTCTGCTACTGAGGTGCTGTGATTACAGGCCCGGTCCACCTCGTCCAATCCACTCAACTTCGAGACTGGCCTTAGTTTATAAGTGTGAAATAACATATGAAAGCCACCACACTTTAAAAATCAAAATCAGAACTAATCTTTCCTTTAGCAATGGCAGTAGGAGACCACCCCGTCACGACTGAGGGGCTTCGAGTTTCCGTAGCCACCACTCAGGCCTAGAAGCAGGTCATCTGGCTTTCAGGAAAGCCTCACTCGACCTCAGCGACACCCCGAGTCCCGAGCAAGGAGAAAAAGGAAGAGGCCAGTCACGACTTACTCCACAAACGCCCGGGAGCAGAGGCAATGGATCGTGTCTTCCTCGTCGCGGTCTTCAATGAAGAGCAGCATTTCAGCCACGTGGCTCCACTTCTCGCAGCACATTTCGTTCTCCGGGGTGGCTCTCCTGTCCCCGGCGGGGCTGGGCCTCTGCTCGGTTGCCGGAGACAGAGATCGGACTCAGCGGCCGGGGCGGAGGAGCCGGAACGCACCCGGGAACGCTCGAGCCCGGAGCCCGCCAGGCACAACGGAAGCAGAAACGGCGACTACCGGAAGGGGCGGGGAGAGGGCGGTGTCACTGCCAAGGTGGCCCGGGCTTCTTCCTCACAGGTGCTTAAGGGGAGCTCGCCGCGCTGAGTAGCTGCCGACGTCGCCGAGGACGGTCTGGCTTTCCGTGCCTCCCGCGGCAGGTGTGTGACTCCACCCCGGACCTCCCCGCGCTGCTCCAGCTTGTGGCAAGCGTGGTGTCAGGGTCGCGGGACGGGGAACGGAAAGGCGGGCTGGTCCCCTGGGCTGCGCTTCTCCGGCGGGGAGCGGAGTTACTGTCACACCCGTCACCCGCGGGTTCTCGGAGACCGTGAGCATCCTCTCTGCTCTCGGACCTTCCCGCAGCTTCTCTTGTGAGGCTGGGCTTCTCTAGCGTCTGGTGATGGAGCTGGAGGGAAGCGTGAGGCTCTAAGGACGAGGGTGGATGGATGCCGACCGTGCAGGCTTAGGATCCTAGTTTGTGCTCTTTAGTACCGTGTGACCTGGCCCTTTCTGAACAGCATCATCTATAAAGAGGGGGCCGAATAGCAATAATTACCCCGTGAGGTTGCGGACAGGATCAAAGGAAGCAACCCTTATAAACTTTTATATTTGCAAATTCGAGTCGGTCCACACCTTGTAGATGCTGCGTTGCTTTGGTCGCTGGGTTTTCCAATCCAGTAAACATTTAGTAAGAAATAATAGTACATACATTGGATATAGAAAACTTAGAGTTGTGCTGTATTTGGAGAGAAAACAAGACATTTAGTGCTAGGTACTGTTTTGGGGTAGTCATTTTGTGAGAAGCAGTTTTCCTACTAGACTTTCAAAGTTAACTCTTGCTTTTGGCTGTGTCCCCTACCCATTAGATGATCCTGTCTCTATCCTTCCTCCCCTGCTCTTGTCCTGGGCTATAGTAACCACTATTATTTTTGTTTGTTTGTTTTGTTTTCCAAACAGGGTTTCTTTGTGTAGCCCTAGTTGTCCTGGAACTCACTTTGTAGAACAGCTCTCCTCAAACTCACAGTGATCCACCTGCCTCTGCGTCTTTGCGTGGTGCTGAGATTAAAGGCGGGTACCACCACCCAGCACACTATTCTTTATCTTTGAGACTGATTTCGTGTATTAGAGCATGAGATGGTACCATCGAATTTAGCGTGAGACTTCCCACCTCAGTTAACATAGCCCTAAAGAAAAATCCTCACAGACCTTCACAGAGATTTGCTTCTTAGGCGGCCGACAGCCAGCTACAGAGCGATGCTGAGTATTTCTCTTCTGCTCGTTGGTCACTTGTATTATCTCCTGAGAAGTGACTTTTCAAATCATTGGCCTTCTGTTTTTAATGGGATTATTTGTACTTTTTGTTGTTGTTGTTGTTGAACCTTTTGAGGGCTAAGTACAATCTAGAAATAGCCTGCTGTGGGGGGAACTTTAGTGTGTAGCTGTTTTCCCCGTTGTCACTTTTTTACTTTTGATGTTTGTGCTTTGGGGGCACAGTTTTCCCTGTGTCTTTTTTTTTTTTTTTTTTTTTTGTAGTAACTTTAAACCATAAAGTCTAATTTTGCTGCTTTTGTTGAAAATAAAAGTCATGCTGTGTTCATCCTCTGCAAACAGAATAGACCTGGTTTTCTCACAGATAAATGCTATTGGTTACAAGGAAATCAGATCTAATACCCTGTCAGTTCAAGTGTGTACTGTCATAAAGCTAGCAAGGTAATCTTGATAACAAGACAATATGGAATTGCTCTTGTGTGAGGGTCTGGTTTAGTCCCTCTCTTGTATTCCTTTCCTGACTCTCACAAAGAATCTGAGAGGACTTTCTTAAGATTATGCAATATGAAATGATAGTTAAACTGTGTTTAGGTCAGACTTTGAACCAGTGAAAATATGAAAGAAAGAAGGAAATCTTGTGTAGATAATTATATAAGATTAATATCGTTGTATTGTCCAATATATTTAGCAATTTGAGTGACAGCCTATTAGTAAGAAGTGACAGCCATTGAGACACCCTACATTTCCATGTCCCCCTTATAGATGCAAATGCAGGTTCATGTGAGCTTTGGTAGAATGGTGTAATGTGTAATCAGCAGTCTTCAGCTACGCAGAGGTGTCCTGAGTGTGACTAACCTGTGACACACCTAGGGCTATCATTATTTGTCACATTTGTGCCTGTCTCCTGCCACTTAGTCCATGGAAATGTAAACTCAGCTGTAATGATTTTTATTTAATGATATATTTCATTTGTTTACTGTGTTTTCAGAGCACTTATATTGAAGCTAGAGACAAGATATTTGTGTAATTTCTGGTAAGTCAAGTACTTGTTTTAGACAATGACTTCATACAAAACTTGTAGCTATGTTTTTAGTCATTTATGTTTTAATAGAAATTTTAGTGACTGTAAAATAAATGGTATATGTATAATTTTTAAAATTCTGTGTATCAAAAGAGCAGACAGGCTCCTATGAAACCTGTTTCTCCAAAAAAAAAAAATTCCATACATGTATGTTATCATTTCCTAAAGCTTTGGGTTGCTTTACTGAAAGTACTGATGTTTTCCTTTGTGAGGGACACAGTTGGTCTCAGAGTAAAGTGGAAAATGGTGTGCATGATCCATGGAAGATGAGCTAGAGTAACGTCTGAGCTGTGCTCACTGCGTCAGTTTTCCTGTCTCAGTCACTGCTTAGGGGTTACTTTAGAAGCTATTCCCTGCCAGGTGTGGTGGTGCATGCCTTTCATCCCAGCACTGGGGCGAGGGGGGGGGGCGGGGGGGGCGGGGACAGAGGCAAGTGGATCTCTGTGAGTTCAAGGCTAGCCTGATATACATACTAAGTTGCTGGACAGCCAGGGCTACACAGAGAAAGCCTGTCTCGGAAAGAAAACAAAACCAAAAAGCTAAACCCAACACTTTTCATAATTTTGTAGACAAAATGTTATCATTGTCACATTAAAAATCTATCATATTTTATGTATACTAAAATATTTAACTTTGTGTGTGTGAAGAGTATAACTGAATTATTTTCCCTTCTAGTGCTGAGATTAAAACATATGGCAATGAAGAAAGAGACAGAATCTGGGGTTTTCATCTGAAGAAAATGACAGACAGCAACCAAACCTGTGCTGCAGGCCAGGCCTCCGTGCCCTACATGACTTGTTTGATTCACGTGCTTGAGCAGTGGCTGGGTGTGGAGCAGTTGGAGGACTATTTGAATTTTGCAAGCCATCTCTTGTGGGTTTTTACCCCACTGATACTTTTAATACTCCCTTACTTTACCATCTTTCTTCTCTACCTTACTGTGGTTTTCCTGCACATATATAAGAGGAAGAATGTGTTAAAGGAAGCCTACTCTCATAATTTATGGGATGGCGCAAGGAAAACAGTGGCCACTCTGTGGGATGGACATGCAGCGGTTTGGCATGGTAAGCAGGGATACCGTGGTATCTGTTGCCATGGTGTGGAGCACTGACACCATGTTTCTGTTTATTGATTGGGAGGTTACTAAAAAATAGGATGGAAAGGATATTTACAATTCCTTGTTAATCTGTTTACATGTATTGTGTATATGTATGTTTTTAAATGATGTTTCCTAAACACATTTGTTTCTGTTGAAGAATTACATAGCGCTCTCTCTCTCTCTCTCTCTCTCTCTCTCTCTCTCTCTCTCTCTCTCTTTTGTTTGTTTTTTGAGACAGGGTTTCTCTGTGTAGCTCTGGTACCTGTCCTGGAACTAGTTCTTGTAGACCAAGCTGGCCTCAAACTCATGGGGATCTGCCTGCTGAGTGCTGGGATTAAAGGTGTGCACCACCACCACCCGACAGCGCTGTCAATTACAATAAACTGAAATATGAAAATTGATGCTTAAAGCATCTATAAAAACTACTTAAAACTGTCAAAATTTCCTTTTCTTACCACACAGAGTAATAGCTTTTCTTGTGACATTTTCGTATGTATCTGTTGTTATACTTTGTTCTTCATGGCCAGTTCCTTTTCCTCTCCCCATCCCCACCTCCTTTTTATCCCTCCTGCTTTAAGCAGTCCTTCTGCTTTTATTTCACATATATCCCATAACTGTCTTTTGTTCCCTTGTTCCTTTTCCCTCAGACCTCTTCCTCTCCTCACTGACCTCTTTCTACTTCATAGAAACTGCTTTTTCTTGTTGTTTTAAAATATTTATTTATTCTGATTGTGTGTGTATGTGCACGTGTGGGCTACTGTGCTGGTAGAGGCCAGAGGAGGATGTCAGATCCCTTGGAGCTGGAGCTGTGGGTTTTCGTGAGCCCCCTCAATGGGTGCTGGAGACTGAACTCTGGTCCTCTGCGACAGCAGCAAGTCTGCCAAGCTGTCTTTGCAGCCACGGTGCAGAAGGTGGGGAGGGGGCCGCAGGTGGGGGAGCACAGGCGGGATGGTCTTGCTATGTAGTCTAGCCAGCCTGGAATTTTTAGTCCTCCTTTCGCTTCCTGAATATTATTGGGGTTATAGCCAGTGCCACCTTACTTTTTTTTTTTTTTTTTTTTTTTGGTTTTTCGAGACAGGGTTTCTCTGTGGTTTTGCAACCTGTCCTGGAACTAGCTCTTGTAGACCAGGCTGGTCTCGAACTCACAGAGATCCGCCTGCCTCTGCCTCCCGAGTGCTGGGATTAAAGGCGTGCGCCACCACCGCCTGGCTCAGTGCCACCTTACTTGACTAGATTTTTTTTCTTTTTCTTTTCCTTTTTTTTTTTTTTTTTTTTTTTTTTTTTTTTTAAGTTTTACTTCTTAGAGACAGGGTTTCTATGTAGCCCTGACTATCCTGGAACTCTGTGTAGAACAAACTGGCTTTGAACTCACAGAGATCCGCATGCCTCTGCTTCCCAAATGCTGGGATTAAAGGCGTGTACTACTGTTATTCTGTTGAGAGTAAATTTGATTCTACCAGTGTGACGTTTTTATTTTTTTTTATTTTTTATTTTTATTTTTTTTAAAGTTTATTTATTATGTATACAATATTCTTTCTGTGTGTATGCCTGCAGGCCAGAAGAGGGCACCAGACCCCATTACAGATGGTTGTGAGCCACCATGTGGTTGCTGGGAATTGAACTCAGGACCTTTGGAAGAGCAGGCAATGCTCTTAACCTCTGAGCCATCTCTCCAGCCCCCCAGTGTGACGTTTTTAAAGAATGAACTATTATATCATAGTAGTAAACATAAATATAAGTTGTATAGTGGTGTTTACTTGCTTGTCATTTGATCATCTAAGAAGTTGGCGTGTCTCCCCAGATAAGTGAAGTGGCAGTCCACTTCTTTCTTGCTGACTGGAGAAGCTGTGACACCGTGCACTTAGTGACCAGTGGCTCAGCTTTTGGCCGCCGTGAAAACTGCCTCCGGTTGTCTGCTTCCAAGGGCTTGTGCCTTCCTTGGCCAACTTTTACTTCACTTTCCACCAGTCCCGTATTTATAGGTGGGATGCATTTGGACTTTATAAAAATGCCAAAGGTTCGATCTATATGTGCCTCAGTCCCTGTCGTTTCCATAACAGAATACCTGAAATTGGGTAATTTGTAAATGGCTCAATTCTAAATGTTTTAAGAGCATAGGCGGATACCTTTGGTTCTTGGTATAAGTCTCAGGTGGCTTCATGCATAGCGTAAAAGTGGAAGGGCAAGCAGGCGCCTAAAGAAAAACATAAAAAGTAACTTTGCTTTATAAAAGCCTGCTGTCTTAAAAAGTAGTTTCCAGGGGCTGGAGAGATGGCTCAGCAGTTAAGAGCATTGCCTGCTCTTCCAAAGGTCCTGAGTTCAATTCCCAGCAACCACATGGTGGCTCACAACCATCTGTAATGAGGTCTGGTGCCCTAATGAGTCTGGTGTCCTCTTCTGGCCTTCAGGCACACACACAGAAAGAATATTGCATACATAATAAATAAATAAATAAATAAATAAATAAATAAATAGTAGTTTTTAACACATATTAGCGCTACAGTGGGGATTCGCTGAAAGATTCCCACACGTGCTTACGTTGTGCGTTCATGTTGTCCATTTACCCCTCTACTTCACCCCTCCTTGTCCAGTCTCTAGTGACCGTTGTTCTATACTGGACTTTGGTAAATTCTGATTTGATGAATGGCTCAGCATTTGGAGTACCTGTTACTACTGCAGAGGACCCAGGTTTGCGTCCTGGTACTCACCACCGATCTCGCCTCTTTGGCTAACGTGTTGTGATAATAATATATTCATATTAAAATATCTGTAAATCCTTTTTCTTTTTTCTTTTTTTTTTTCTTTCGGTTTTTCAAGACAGGGTTTCTCTGTGGCTTTGGAGCCTGTCCTGGAACTAGCTCGGTAGACCAGGCTGGTCTCGAACTCACAGAGATCCACCTGCCTCTGCCTCCCGAGTGCTGGGATTAAAGGTGTGCGCCACCATCGCCCGGCTTCCTTTTTCTTTTGAGTGCTCTAAACACTGGTAAATACTTTTTATCCACTTTTACTTCTTTAAACCTTGTATTCTGATAGATGAAGTTTATATTCTACCTCTGTTTTGCTCCTCAGGAAACAGTTTCATGCAGGGGTCTATACCCCTTTGTCCAAGACTGTACCCTCACTCTGCTTCCTAGTGTACCTCAGAAATAACTTCCCTGAACCTCTGTGCGATAGCCTAAGGTTCTTTCATGCTTCATACATTCCCAAAGCATGTACACTGTTGGACAGAAAAGATCCCTAAATATATTCATAGTAGAATCCTACTTATGTTAAATAGACATCAGAAGAAAATGTAGGTGCCATCCACACTAGGCGGCGAGTCACGGGGAAGCTAAGGCAGGTTGCGAGGGATCCCTGATGGCTGTCGACTGCAGGCAGCCCTAGCCTAGCATAAGCTCCTCCACACTTGGCTCTAGCCTCTGCTACCAGCCCGTGCTGGGGTGGATTCTGCCCTTGTTTCACTCCCGCCCGCCCGTGCTGTGTTTGTGCTGTCTGTCCTCCACTCCCTTCCTTTTCCCCAGCACCCATCACGTGGGCTACACTTTCCTGCTGAGGGCTCCCTCTCCTGGGTCACCCTTGCTGGTGACTCTCAGTGCACACTCTGCCACTCGAGTGCCACGTTCGTTCTGTCACACTGTAAGACCATAGAACCAAATTATTCTGTGTACAAAATTCTGGGAAAGGGGAAGAACTCTCCAAAAGAGAAGCGAACCAGGCAGGCAGAGGCCTATTTTAAGTTATTGCATTTTATGTATCAGCAACTTGTCTTCCCAACAGGTTACGAAGTTCATGGGATGGAAAAGATACCGGAAGGACCAGCGCTTATCATTTTTTATCATGGAGCGATTCCCATAGACTTTTACTACTTCATGGCTAAGATTTTCATCCACAAGGGCAGAACGTGCCGAGTAGTAGCTGACCACTTTGTCTTTAAAATCCCAGGTAAAACTTAGCTGTGTGGTGTGTAATGATCAGATTGTGTGGTAGTGTGACCTTAGTGTTGTTTAGAGTGTTTGCCAAGTCGGGCAGTGATGGCACACGCCTTTAATCCCAGCACTGGGGAAGCCGAGGCAGGTGGATCTCTGAGTTTGAGGCCAGCCTGGTCCACAGAGCGAGTCACGGGACAGGCTCCAAAATAAACACAAAGAAACCCTGTCTCAAAAAACCAAAAAAAGAAAAAATAAGAAAGGCGTGTTTGCCTCCTAAGGATAACAGATTTGAAAACATATAATTATCCAGTTTAAGAAGCCTGACCTGACTTGAGTGGTAACCCTTCCTTAGCTGCTCTAGAGTCCTGGATTTCTAGGTGTGGCCACCACTGCTGGCTCTAATTATCCCTGCCTCTTCCTCCCTTTCTTCCACACTGACTCCGATTATTCTCTTCCTTCTTCCTCCTCCTCCTTTTGCTTTGCTTTTGGCTCTGCTGGGGATTGACACCTGGGGATGAACTAGGAGGCAAACGTTCTCCCTCCAGTCCTATTTCCTGCTGGTTCTCCAGCCTGGCTTTCAGCCTGGTTTCTCTAGTAAGCCTTCTGCCTCAGCCCACTAGGCAGGTGGACTGCAAACATTTGTGTCCCAAGGACAGGCTTAAGTCTTGAATTTTGTTTCTTTATTATGATGGTGCAGATGGGACACGAGGCACCTGCTCTGTTTTCAGCTATATCCCTAACCCAAATTTTGAACTTTCAAGTAGAATTTTTAAAAAAAGATATATAATTTTGTATACAAGGTAGTTAAAATTTCATGTTTTTTGTAAGATAATTTTTTCTTGTTTAATTCTGTTAAAGTTTAGTAGCAAATCAAAATTAGAGAAAAAGAATACAGGCTGTGTTTGTCCTCACTGTCCTAAAGAGTATGCCCATATATCATGTCTCATCTAGTCTGAGCTGCCTCACGGACTCATGCTCTTCAGGACGAGGACTGCATTTTAAGTCTACTCATAATAGCTTTATAGTTATTAAAAGTTACTCAAGTTGTTTAAGATAAACTAGTTTTTTTTTTTTTTTTTTTTTTTTTAAAAACCAACTCATTGAATGATCTTACTGAAGATAAATCTTACTTTCTTTCATCACTAAATCATTAGAAACAAGCCAGGAGAGTTGATAGTGTGCTCTCTGGAATGCTAAAGGCAGAGCTGGCCCAGCAAGCAGACTCAAGCCCAGCAGCGAGTTAAGGACCAGCCTACTCCAGTGCCTTCCATATATATGGTTAGTGTGTTAGTCTGTGCCGGAACCCCCATTTCTACTTTGTGTATACGCTAAATCAGATGAGGCTTTCCTCCAGAAAGAATGCGATGACGTTCTGCAGATTGGGACCAGAGGGTATTAGAATCCACCATAACTAGTTATTTTGATTTAAGTGACATTTTCACACACTTACAATTTTGTGGGTTTTATGCTCCCAAAATATTTAATGGTAAGCATTACTGTCTTACAATGCCTTCTATACTTGTCCGGTTCTGGAGGTTAAAGCTAGGGCCCTTCCACATGCTAGCCAAGTAGTCGTACCTCTGAACCACACCCCAGCCAAGGACAGTTTTAATATCTGGTTCAAGTGTTGGCTTCACTATTGTTCTGTTACGGAGCATGGGTTTACTTTTAGCTTTTCCTTTTCCTAAATAAGAAAACTGAACATTTTTAGGTTTTTCAAAACATTTTTTTCTCTATGCCCATACCATATTTGACACTGATTTACCTTTAGTCATTTATTTTAATTCTTAGTGCAAGAGAGAAATTTTGTGTTCTACCTTCCCTCAGTTCCCTCTGACATCTATAATGTTGGTTCTGCTCAGTAGGGCACTGGGAAGCAATGTTAGTCTGCCCAGTTCTAGGACCCATCCATGTCCTCAGTCTCAAGCAGGAAAATACGGAGATCACATGAAGGTCCACTGTAGGGTTTTTATTAAAGTACTTTTCATTGACAGGATGTCTTTCATGCAGAGATAGTCATAGTGTGAAAGGTTAGATGATGCTAAGGTTTGGAATTAGCTCTTCCTGGGTCAAATACCCTTCCTCAGTAGATTCAAGTTCTCAACGATACTTGATTGCTGTTGTTATAAAAATTTAATTGTAGGATTAGCATCACCTAACTTTTTATTTCAATAGATTTGATTATAGTCTTAGCTAATTTTAGTATGTCTGAATGTAGCCAGATTTACATTTTCTCAGGTGGTTCTTTGTTGCAGGGTTAGTGGGAGATTAAGATTTGGGTTGCTGATGAGACATCATGCCTGATTGTTTTAACAGTACGTGAGACTGTATGTGGCCTGAAAGTCAGTGGCAGGTACTTAGGACTGGACATAGCACAGTGGGAAAGTCTATTGGGTGACTTGGAATACACTATTTAGCCTTTAAGCCTGGCTTTTGTCATCTGTAAAATGGGGAGAACAATCTCTGTTTTTCATGATAAGGTTTTAATTAAGAATTTGAAAATGTAAAGTAGCCATAGTAAGGAGGTGATCAGGCAGAAAATAATCAATAGTAGGTGATCAGTAAGATATATATTACTTCATAAGTGAAACTGGTCTTGTACCTTAAGAGCTAGTGGCTTAAGAAAGTTTATAAAAGTCTAGCTAGTAAATAGCATAGATCGTGATAAGTTTTGCTCTTAAATGAATCAAACGAGATAAAGATATATCTTTGTGTTTATGTTTTTTTTTTTTTCTGACAGGGTTCAGTTTATTACTAGACGTATTTTGTGCTCTTCATGGGCCAAGAGAAAAATGTGTTGAAATCCTGAGGAGTGGCCACTTGCTGGCTATTTCACCAGGAGGAGTCCGAGAAGCCTTGCTCAGTGATGAGACCTACAGCATCATCTGGGGTAGCCGGAAAGGCTTTGCGCAGGTCGCCATTGATGCGCAAGTGGTGAGTCACACCAACGTCCCTGTCCAAGCAGATGCTTAAAGGTGGGCCGACGTGTACGAAGCCAGCATCTTTCCCTGTAATAAAGTCGCTGTATATAGCAATTTATAGGGATATATCAAAAGAACACTTCCTTATGCATAAGAAGCCTTCTTTAAAATCAAAAAAGTGATCTGGAAATTTAGCAAGTATCCAACAAGGTTTTATTTTTTTCAGTTGTAAATTCCACTTTCTTTATTAGATTTGTAATTTTGTACACAGTCCCACCATTCTTTCAGTTATTATTATTTATTTATTTATTTATTTATTTATTTATTTATTATGTATACAACATTCTGTCTGTGTGTATGCCTGAAGGCCAGAAGAGGGCACCAGACCTCATTACAGATGGCTGTGAGCCACCATGTGGTTGCCGGGAATTGAACTCAGGACCTTCGGAAGAGCAGGCAATGCTCTTAACCACTGAGCCATCTTTCCAGCCCTATTATTTATTTTTATTTATTTATTTTTTTTTGGTTTTTCGAGACAGGGTTTCTCTGTGGCTTTGGAGCCTTTCCCGGCACTAGCTCTGTAGACCAGGCTGCAACTCACAGAGATCCGCCTGCCTCTGCCTCCGGAGTGCTGGGATTAAAGGCGTGTGCCACCATCGCCCGGCAGTTATTATTTTTTAAATGACATAGTCGGCTCATCCTGTGTGTTTTAAACCTGTGGTAACTTTGGCACGATGACTTAGTGTGTTTCTTTGATGAATTTGGTTTGATAGTTATTTTTTGTATAATCACTTTTTATAACAACACAAGTGTTGGCCGATTAATGTCATTTTTCATTCAAAACGACCAGCTATTTATAGTATAATGATAGGAAATGGATAGTGGTGTAATTTAGACATTTTAAAAGCACTTTTCAAATGAATTCATCAATAAAATTAAATGGACTTGGGAGACCCTTGTAGTTACTGTACTTCCCAGACAGTGGTGTGGATGTGCTGTTGGTGTTTTCTTTAGCCTTTGGAAAGGATTCCTTAGTCCTTTGCTCTCCATGGCCTGAGGAGCTGTATCCTGAGGAGTGCTTTCTGTCAGACGGGGGTATTGCTGCCCCTCACTGGACTCTTGTTCTTTTCGCCAAGCCAGGAGGTTGAGCCAGCTTCAGTAACTTAGCTTTTCAGGTCACTGTCGCTAGGAAGGCCAGCCTGCATCTTTGGTCTGACTCTGAATCATGTAAGTGTAGACTGTTGGTCAAAAGAGAAAGATTGTGGGTGATTCATTCTAACTAAAGAAAAGTATCAAAGGAGAATCGATCGTTTATATTTGAATTACAAAGTTTACAGCAAAACAGAATACTCCAAAGCACTCTCTTCTCTCCTGTATCTATGCACCTGCTTACGGGTGGCTCTTGGAAGTCATTGCTACAGTGCTCCTCTGTGGTCTCCTAGTTCAAATAAATCTACTTCCTAACTTTTTAAATAACACAGTCATTCAGTAGATAAGTTCTTTAAATAACATAACTTTCTATTTAAATCAATAGTGCAGTGGTCTACTTTAAGTAGACTTTAAGTATTTGTGGAATTAACTGCTTCTTCTTTAAACACAGATTACTCAACTCAGCAAAAAGCTTTTTAATTTACTCATGCATTTGTCGCTAGTAATAAAGAAAATGGACTGATTGTACCCATTTCCTAAAGTTTGTAGGCACAGATGTGGAAACCAGAGTGGTAGACTGTGAGTCATACGGAACGCAGAAGGCTCCCCGCAGCTGTGCGAAACTAAGACAATCAGTGAAATGTAGGACAGCAAGAATAAAATTCTAACCTAAAGCAAGACATTGACTTTTTTACATTTGTATTTTGGAAGCTTTTTTAAAAAATAGATTTCAGATAAAGATAACAAAATAGTTTGAGTCTTACAAGTTTATCTTGAATTCTAATTCTTCATCCTTGTGTTTACACTTTGAAGCAGGCTATTGCTTAGGAGACCTGGGAAGGAGGAATGACAAAAGAGCTGCTTAGATTCTTAAGTCTCCTGGTGACTTTTTATGATAAGCTAGATAATCCAATTAAGACTTTTTTGTAAAATTCCAAATATTGAGAAAGAGCCTTTATATAAATTTAAATAAATGCAACATTTTAATGCTGTTAATTTACCAATAACATAAGTCCTATAAATAGCTTGCAGCACTTTTGAGGGCTCTATAGAGTCAGGATGTAACTTGTAATATTCTAATGCTGTAGTTCTCAACGTGTGGGTTGCAACCTTTTTGGGGGTTGAACAACCCTTTCTCAGGGGTTGCTTAAGACCATCGGAAACCACAGATATTTGCATTATGATTTGTAACAGTAACAAAATTACATTTATGAAGTTATCAACGAAAATAATTTTATGGCTTGGGGTCACCACAACATGAGGAACTGTGTTAAAGCGTCACAGCATTAGAAAGATTGAGAACACTGTGGAAAAGGGTCTTAGCATTAGGGAGGCTAAGGACTACTGTATTAAAGGGTCTCAGTGTTAGGGAGGCTGAGAACCATTGTGTTAGAGGGTCTCAGTGTTAGGGAGGCTGAGGACCACTGTGGTAAAGAGTCTCAGTTTTAGGGAGGCTGAGGACCACTGGTTTTATGTTACAGGTGAGAGTCAGGCACAGGGGGAGGATGGGAGGATGTGGTCCCAGCAAGGCAGTGGCAGAGCAGAGCCAGAGCAGAACACAGTTCAGGCAGCAGTGTTCTTGCCATCCCAACTGCATGTCACAGTGAGTGTGGACATCTGAGATTGAAGGGGCCTTCTAGAGATGTGAGGAAAACTTTAAAAAAACTTAAACAGTTGAAAATGATAATTATTGCTTAATAGACCAAACCAAATTTCCAAAAATGCGAGAAAACACTTAAAACTATGGAAGTATGATTAGCTGTGTTTAAAAAGGAACCACTGGAAAAACACTTGTTTATTGTGTGCCAGGCTTAGAAGATACCTCAACAATGCCCCTTCCCCCAAAGTAATTTAAAAAGTAAGCTGGCCATGCTTTAAGAAATAAAAGGGGAATCCAATTGCAGTTCACAAAATATCAGCAGAAGATATCTGAAGGTCATTTGAATGGGACAGACTTTTTATTTTTTTATTCTTCTCTCATATATTACATCCCACCCGCAGTTTCCCCTTCCTCCTAGCCGCCTACCACCTCCCTTCTCCCCAAGATTCACAAGATTCACTTCTCTGTCTCCCTTTTCTCAGAAAAGGGCAGTCTGGGACAGATTCTTTTTTTTTTTTTTCTTCTTTTTGTTTTTTCAAGACAGGGTTTCTCTGTGTAACAGCCATAACTGTCCTGGGACTAGCTATTGTAGACCAGGCTGGCCTCGACCTCCCAGAGATCACCACCACTGCCTGGCTTCTGGGACAGACTCTTATTTGTACCATATAACTCTTATTTTGTGGATTCCTGAAAGTATTTAGGGAGTTCCACATCTAGGTTGGGAAAAATTACTTTAATTAGTTGGAAATAAATAACAAATATAAAAGAAAGGAATATTGTATTTAAAAATTATTTGTGTTATTTCACTTTACTCATAAAAATTTTTGAGATAAAGGTAATTATAATTCTCCCCACCCTTCACGTGAAGAAAGTAAGGCTTAGATTTGATAATCAACTTGTTTAGTGTTTGCTCTATTCTTAGTAGCCGAAGAAGGACTCTGTAATCATGCTAAATTGATGTTCCAAAAATAGTTTTACAAATCTGTACACTTGTGTACATGCATAGGGAGTGATGTGGGCACAGAAATTATAAATTCTCTATTACGTATGCAGCTGTCCTGTGGACAGATATGCACAAGGAAAGGGTTAAATGACTGTACACAATCAAGTTGATATAAGTTAGTGCTGTATCTTTAAGGATTGAAGCTTGATGCACTTAAAAACCATAGGTCCAAATTAACATGGAAGACTGAGCCAGTTGTAAGGCAAGCGTTCTTTTATGAAGTGGCTTCTAGAATGTTCTTCTGCAGTTTAGCTATTTCGGGAATGGTGTTGAACTTAATCATCTTCATGAAGTGCACACTTTAATACAGGCTTTGAGGATCATGCCTGTCTGTAGATACCGCCAGCAGTTTCAGTCATGGGAGAAAACAGTATCTGTGAGCTGGAAGGGTTTCTGTTCCTTCCGTGCATCCTAAATTCTCAATTCTGGGAACGTAACTTTTTAAACACTAGGATTTCAGCCATTTCATTTTATAAAACTTGTCATCTTAGATAGTAGTGGGGTATTTTTTTTTTTTTACAAAAGAATTCAGTGTTCATTGTCATCTCTATGCAGTGGTTTTATGGGTTAACCTCATTTTACAGTTTGACAGCTGTGTCTGCTTGTTGGCATCGCTGCTGCCTGTCTCTGACGTCTGTGTGACGTCAGGAGCATCGTCTTTCTGTATGTGCTCATTCCTTCCTTAGTTCTTCCATAACTTCCTTTTATCTCGTCTGTTCCAGGTGCTTTTCTAAGTGCGAGGGACACAGCAGTGAACAAAGCAAGCATTAGGTGTCCCTGAACTATGTTAGAGGTCGTCCCTCTGCTGAGAGGGACAGCAGGTGATGAGCTAGTTCATTGTGAGGACAAGTTGTGTGACGTTTATCCTTGTGTTTTCTTCTGCCCAGTGAAGTGAGTGAAAAAGACTTAGAATATCGTTATCTTTATCTAAGACCCTGCTTGTAACGGTGTGGAGTTCTACAGATAATGTGGAACTTCATGAACATGTGCACATACACATGTATATGTAGTCTTATCTATTCTATTCACTTCAGTGTATTTGTTTATATATGAAAGTATTTTATCCAATTTTGATATATTTTGCTGTTTACAATAGCATGACCTTCCTATATGATGCTTTATGATATTGCATTATTTTATGACATTGACCTAGTATTTCCATTATCAAATATCACATTTAACCACTGATATTGTTCATGGACTATCCTATAAATTTGTTATCTAAAATTCTTCAATTTATACACTTTTTAAAAATTTTTACACATACTTTTTGTTAATACTGAACACTTTAGATTTGGCGGGCTCAGAAAAAAATGTAAAACTAATTTCATGAGAACATCTTGCTGAAACCTATCCTTTAAATTGATACAAACTTTCCCTTTGTCTTAGTTACTTTTTTGTTTCTGTGACCAAATGCCATGATGAAGGTAACTTATAAAAGAGAACATTTGATCTGGGACTCATGCTTCCTGAGGGTTACAGTCCATGACCATCAGGGCAGGGAGCATGGCAGCAGGCAGGTAGGCGTGGTGCTGGAGAAGGAGCTGAGAGTTCACATCTGATCTGTAAGCTGGAAACAGAAAGCTCACTGAAACCTCAAAGTCCACCCCCAGTGACACACCTCCTCCAACAAGATCACACCTCCTAATCCCTCCAATGCAGTTCCATTCACTGGAGACCAAGGATTCAAATATCCGAGCCTGTGGGGGCCATGTTTAACTAACACCACACTCTTCAAAGTGTCTTCATCCGTAGCTTCCCTAATGAGCGTAGTATTTAGGAATGAGTTAAACTAATCTACCACATTCACTACTTAATGAAACTAGTATGATAGTCCTCGTGAGTTTCAAGGGTTTATATATACAAGCAAAATCAGTAGATAAAATATTGCATGTTGCAACTGAAGAATAGTCTTTCCAATTTATATTCTTATAAATTATGAAGTCAAATTTAGTCTGATAAATCATACCACCTTAGATATGCCTCTGGTTTTAAAATCTATTTTTAGTATTTCAAATGTGCCTTCAAAAAAGTTGCCTTAGTGATTCAATGGAGACCTTAAGTGTATTTATTTATTTACTTTCAATTCAAATTCTTTTCTTTAGCCCATTATTCCTATGTTTACACAAAATATTCGAGAAGGATTTAGATCACTTGGAGGAACAAGTAAGTTCTCATTCCTATGGTTTTTTAACTATAGTAATTATAGTATAATCTTTAAAACATTAGGTGTTTTGAACACTAATAGGAAAACTTTTGATTTTTTTTGGGGGGGGGGACAGGTTCTCACTGTGTAGTTCTGGCTGTCCTACAACTCCCTAGACCAGGCTGGCTCCAAACTCAGAGAGTTCCATCTGTCTCTGGACCTCCCAAGTACAGGAATTAAATGCCTGGTGACTTTTGATTTATTAATTTTAGAAAATGAGTATTTAGATAACTGTTCTCCATAAACTCTGAGTGATAGTTGGTTCCGAGTAGTGGCAGTTATTATTCTGCAGGGACTGGGGACTGAGACTGGATCTTACCATGTAGCCAGGCTGGCCTCAAATTTGTGATTTTCATGCTTCAGCTTCCTGAGTTTCTGGTAGACAGTATGCTTTTGATAGGTGTATTTTAAACATATTAAAGTTTATTTGAATGGGCTTTTTAAAACTTCAAAGCGATTCATCTAATATATTGTGTTAAATTATGTTGATAAGATTTAGAAAACATTTATATACTATCAACTGAAGAAACTAGTTTTAAAATGGAGCGACCTACATATTAAACTAAGATTGCCCTCAGAGGAAATAGGGATGTCATTTGCTTTGGTTAATCTTATTACTTAAAAAAATGATAAACTATATGTTTGTATTGATATTTTCTTTTATCTGTCTGTAGTTTACTAATTAGAAATTCACTTTTAATATAGTTGTAAGAATAAAAATTAGGTTTTTTTTCTTTAAACTGTCTCTTATTTTGGAATGTTCAGCTTGTTTTTGGCTTGTGATTTATATATTATGTTCAGTTGAATACAGTTTTGTAATTGTTGCTGTTCCTAGCCATATAAAAACCCCTTAGCAAGCCTTCAATTGCTGTTGTTTTAATGCATTTCTTATATTTAACTTTAGATATTATTTCTAATTTTTTTGTTAATCTTTTCAAATAGCAAATCAGAATTTATTACAGAAATTTTGTTTCTTCAATTATGAGTTATTTTCAAAATTTTATTGATTGCTTTTCAGCTTCACTTAAAGTTCAGTATCTCTGAATGTCTGATAAAATGTCTATTGTCTTTTATTTTTTCTTCATTCCTCCTTCCTTCCTTCCTTCCTTTCTTCCTTCCTTCCTTCCTTCCTTCCTTCCTTCCTTCCTTCCTTCCTTCCCCTTCTCCCTCCCTCCTTCCCTCCTTCCATTCTTTCTTAGCTATTTATTTATTTTTGAGGCACAGTTTTACTGCAACCTTGGCTGGCCTGAACTTGTTAATAGGCTAGGCTAAACTTGACCTCACAGAGATCCACCTACTTCTGTCCTCCACCCCACTGGTGCTGGAATTATAGGCATACATCATCATACCTAGATAATTTTAATTTTTTTTGAGTTTTACTTTGGGTGTGACAGTAATTTTTCTGTTTCTGTATATAATTAGTGTTTTCAGTACATAACTGTATTTTGTGAAACTTACCTTTTTGGATTCCATTGGTGCTGTTTTTTAACCTCTCTTATTCATCTTTAATACCTTTAAATTCAGTCCTGCTGAGTTAGATATAGCTATCTCTAGAAGGCCAGTGTGTGGTGTCTGCATGGCTGGGCCGTCACTCCCTGGCCCTTGTCTCTGGTACTTGTCAGTCTCTCGCTGTGTCCCTGAACGTTTCCAGGTCTGCTGGCGCCTGTCAGCCTTTGTTCTGCAGTGATAGTAACCGGTTTGTCCTTTGAGAGTCTTAAATATTTAAAACGTTTCTTGGTTTTTTAATGAACTGTTTAATTTTCCCTTTTATTTTTAAATTTATAGAAAAAAACTGAGTACAAAGTACAGAAATTCTTGTATGTCGCTTCAGCGGTCTCTCATGAGCTCAGTCCTCATGAGCACATTGCACCAGTACGTGATGGAAAGCTTCCCTTTAGGAGAGGCTGTGCTGGTTATGTAGCTTATATACTGATATGTGGATGTGTGAGGGCTGGATTCAGCCCCCAGCTTCAGAAATACAGACAGACAGACAGACACACACACACACACACTGCTATGAATTGTAGCAAGTCTTGTGTAATTAATTAGAAAATTTACAGTTATATGCATAGCACATTTGTCCAATAAAAACGATTTTGCTTACTTTGAAACAGGATTATTTAAGTGGCTTTATGAAAAATTCCGCTTTCCATTTGCTCCAATGTATGGAGGTTTTCCTGTAAAGTTGCGGACCTTCTTAGGTGATCCCATTCCATATGACCCAAAGATAACAGCCGAAGAATTAGCTGAAAAGGTAATTTGTGTGTTCTTTCTTAGTCTTAGGACAGATTTTGTTTTAATTATTTGAATGTCATTGTTTATGTATTTTATGCCAGAAGTTCTCAAACAGTGATTTTTGCCCCATTGGAGACATCTGGCAAGGCCCAGTGACATTTTACTGACATGAAAAAGTGGGGGTGGGGGCGACTATAGACATTTAGTGTTCAGAAGCCAGGGATATATTTATAGGCACCTGCAGGATGACATGTTTCTGTATCTCAATCTTTAATAGTAAGAATGAGAAAAGGCCAGAAGTGATGCTAAAGACGTAGAATTCTGTCAGGTGCTATGTGTGACTGGAAGCCTTGAGGAACAAGCAGAGAGGTAAGCAAACACGGTTTGAGTAGCGTAAGTTAGTGAGGATTCTTCAAATGTTGGAGTGATCAGTAGTCTAGCAAGCAGATGAAGCAAGAGTCATGAGGATGAGAAAAGACTACTCAGCTTGGAATTTAGCATTGAAAGAGTCTTAAAATTATGAAAAAGGAGCCATAAGCTGGCCTGGCTCCTGCTAGGCAAACGCTCTACCACTGGACTACATCCCTTGCTATGTGTGCGTTTTGATTATAAATTTTGTACCAACCAATATATACTATACTAGTGAGGTGAGGTTCATTTAAAGCATTTTGAACTATGATGGAAACTATATAGATTTGCCAGGTATGGTGCTGCACCATTAATATGATATTAACTACAGCTCTGGGGGGAAGGGGGAGAGGCTAGTGAAACTCTGTGAGTTTGTAACCAACCTGGTCAAAACAAGATGAAATTAAACAAAACTAAAATAGATATACTTATAATTTAGTTCTGTTCAGTACATCCATGTTGTTGAACAGAAGCGATCTTGAGGATTTTTACCATGAAAAGCTGGGTCTGTTCCCCCCTGAGCACCATCTTCCCATTTCTCCCTCAGCTAAGTCACTGACAAGGCCCCGAAACCTAAAACACTAAAATTGCTAGAAGAAAGCATAGGCAGGGGCCTGCAAGATACGTGTGGGAGAGAAGTTCCTTTGCAAGTAGTATGGCATGGAGATTCTACAGGATGATTGGTGTGTACTGAGGCTGTACCAACAGTGGCTTTTCTTTGTTTTTTTTTTTTTAACTAGACCAAGACCGCCCTTCAGGCTTTGATTGATAAGCACCAAAGGATACCGGGCAACATCAGGAGTGCTCTGCTGGACCGCTTTCATAGCGAGCGGAAGGCCGATTGAGAGTCTCTAGTGAGGAGCTCACAGCTGCAGTGCTGTCTTAAATTTTGTAGGTTGTATAATAGTGTTTTTAAAGCATCATGTTAATAAGTATTTTTCTTAGACCTTGTTTATTTAATTTATATTGTTAACCTTGTCCTTTCAATCAGTGGTGTCAAATTTATAAGTAACTCATTACTTGCCTGACTCAGAAAGTGATCATGTTGCATTTGCAATCGTTAGTAGTATAGGACAAGCATAGAGTCTTAGTGGTAAGTCTTTCTTGATATCAGCAGGTTAAGCAGACTTTTCTAAATTATGTCTGCCGTGCCGATCTGAACATTAGGGGTGCATGCATTAGGTGCAGCACTGAATTTAGGTGAGAGGTGCCTGTGTCTGTCTGTCTTCATTCCATTCACAGCTGCGGGTAAGTTGTGGAATGCTTTTGTACCTCAGCGATGTAAGCATGATAATATTGTGGTGATGAACATGACTTTGAGTTGCTTATGTCCACTGTGCTATCTGTAGTGTGAGAGATATAACTGAACTGATTCCTGAACCCTGAAGGAGTTAGGTACATTTGTTTTTGTCCATTGAGTGTAACAATTCCTTCAGGTGTGATGTCCAGTTGCCAAGCACATTGAAAGAGCTGTACTGTTTTATAAATCAAGACATTGTTATTTCTTTAGTATTTATTTTAAACAAGTATCTAAGTAAACATATAGACTAAGTTGTCAGCATGGTGTTTTATGGGGTAAGGATAGAATCACGGTCACATTCCGCAGTTCACGTTAGAAGCTGATTCTAGGCTGAGGAATAAGGAACAAGAAAGCACTGATTTTGCTTAATATCCTGGTTTGTTTTGCTGTGCTCTGCAACCAGTCATGTGGCTTACTATTTCAGTAAAATGTACTTGAATGATGAATTTCTGTAAACACGGAGCTCTCTGAAAATGTAATGGCATTTGATTTGTTGTCTCCCTAAAAACTGATTTTAAAAGTATTTAAACAGCAAAGTATCATAAATCCTCTGCAGTATGTCTCTTTCCATCTTTGTAGTACTTGGGTTTTATATGAACTTTTTAATCACAAGTGTATATTTATGATATATATATATAAATATATAAAATGTATATAGAAATGATGTAAAAAATAAAGGTGAATTGTAAATCATTCTCTTGTGAAATTGTCTGTGAGACATCATTTAAAATAATGCTTGTTTTACTCTCCTTTTTTCTTATGAATCATATCTTATTTTAGCCACGATAAATGTGTAATATACTTCCTGTGTGGTCAGTATGTTTCAGAGGCAATTTCAGTGAAAGGAGTCAGTTTGCTGTTTTTTCCTCCTTCTGTTAGTGAACCTTACTTAGTTCAAATAGTTCAAAGCTGTTAAGTAGTTCCAGAATCAATGAGTAAAAGACAATAAAGTGAACAGGGGAACTGTTTTGGAAGATCAGTTGGCTTTAAAGATTGGAGAAAGAGTCCCATTTGTCAGTAATGTTGCAAAAGTGGTCATTTCCCCAGTATTTACATATTATCTTCTTTTAAAATAATCTTAGGTTCCTGGTACTCACAATGTCAGGGTCCCATCCTGACTGATACATTTTTATCTGTGCCGCTTGAACTTAAATCACCTTTGTAAGATCCAGGGACTGTGATTTGATACAGTTGGAGATGATGATGAAGAGGGTGCGTTAGTGCCTGACTTAGTTTTGGGCCGGTGTTCACAGTTAGCTCTGTGCCAGCATGAAGGGACTTGGGAAGCTTGACTCTCATCTGCTTTGCTGGGAGAAGTTTCAGACCCCCTTTTAAAAACTTGTATTTAGAAAAATACAATAGAATCTCAATATTGCAGTCATGGCCGAAACACCCCTTGTACTCTACTGATGTGGGAGTGTCATATATCAATCTGTTGATTTCATTGGTTAAGTAATAAACACACTGCTTGGCCTCATAGCTTAGAACTAGGTGGGTGGAATAAACAGAATAGAATTCTGGGCGGAAGAGGAAGTGAGGTCAGACTCTGCTCTGCTCCCGGAGAGACCCAACAGCTCTGCTCTCTGGAGCAGAGACACCAGGATGGACGGAGGCTAGACTCTTCCAGGTAAGCACACCTTGGGGTGCTTACACACATTACTAGAAATGGGCTAGTCCAGGTGCGAGAGTTAGCCTAGAAGAGGCTAGATAGAAATGGGTCAAGCAGTTAAATGAATACAGTTTGTGTGTTGTTATTTCGGGCATGAGCTAGCAGGCGGCTGGGGTGCTGGGGACGCAGCCCCGCCGCTCTTATTTCAACACTCTACCATGTCGGCCATTGGTTCTGTGTGTTTCCCATGCTTTCCTTTTGTCCATAGGTATAACCAGCTCTTTTTTGCTCCTTAACAATCAATAAACTAGGAAATTTGTTTTCTGTGCAGACCATGCATTCACTTTTATGAGCTGTCAAGATGGCTTAACAGGTCAAGGCACTTGCCACCAAGTTTACATTCCATCCTGGGGACCCACATGGTAGAAGGAAAAATCCAAAACCTGCACGTTGTTCTCTGACCACCATTCATGTTTCCTGTCATTTGTGTTTGCCCACACATATACACAGTAAATCAATTAATTTTAAAAATTCAAGTTTTGCTGGGTGGTGGTGGTGGCACACACCTTTAATCCCAGCACTCGGGAGGCAGAGGCAGGCGGATCTCTGTGAGTTCAAGGCCAGCCTGGTCTACAAGAGCTAGTTCCAGGACAGGCCCCAAAGCTACAGAGAAACCCTGTCTCGAAAAACCGAAACAAAACAAAACCAAACCCAAAACTCAAGTTTCATTAGTTCCTCACAGTAATGGTTATACCAGATTCTCTTTGTGCTCCATCCTCCACAGGAGACTCACACTGTGTTTAGTTTCCCTGCCTCTTTAGTCTGTTTGTAATCTGGAGTGATTTCTCAGCCCTAGTTTGTCTTTAATAATACTGAGAATTTGTAATGGAAAGAATAACTTTCCTAGGTAAGCCTTTATTTTATTTTTCTGATTCTTTATCATGATTTGATTTAGGGTGTGTGAGCCAGACCTGTGACGTCAATGATGTGGGTTTCATGTACACATCACAAGGAGGTGCATGTTGATTTGTGTCATTTGTAATGGTCAATTAAGACAGTGTGCACCATTCTCTCCTGAAAGTCATTGTCCTTTTAATTAGTAAGTATATGGACACTCTGAAAATATCCGTATCTCTGATCTACCGTGTTGTTCTGGAGATTAAACTCCAGTCAGTCAGCCTTGGCAGCAAGTGTCTTTACCTGCCAAACCACTCACGGATCCCACAATGATTATTGCTCAAAAATACGTTTTGTTTTCTTTTTGTAAAATATACATAGCTTCAAGTTTTATTGTTTGGCCTTTTCAAATATTACTGGCGTGATGTGGGATTTCCTTTTGTATGCTATGAATGTGTTTTGTTACCATTGGTTAATGAATAAAGCTGTTTTGGCCTATGACAGGGAAGAATAGAGCAAGGTGGGAATTCCACCAGAGATAGAAGAGAAAGTAGGTGGAGTCAAGGAGAAGCCATGTAGCTGCCGAAGGAGACAGATGCCCTGGAACCTTACTGGTTGGTCATAGCCACATGGCAATACACAGATGAATAGAATTGGGTTAATTTAAGACGTAAATGTGAGTTAATAAGAAACCCGAGCTAACAGGCCAAGCAGTGTTTTAATTAATAATAGTTTCTGTGTGATTATTTTGGATCTGGGCGACCAGAAAACGAAAAAGCAGTCTCCACCTACACTGGTGTGCATTCACCCAACTGTGGGACCGCTGCTTCTAATAATGTTCCAGAACTCTCGTCAGCTCAGAGATCCTGCAACAACTGAAAATCAGCTCTATCCAGCCCCTGAACACATGCTCAATCCCAAGCACTTTTTCCACTTTTTGTTTGAATATATTTGTCCACTCTGCTTAGCTCAAATACATGGAATCAACCTGTTGTCGTGTCTTATTTTACTTTGCATTGGTACTTGGTGTTCTCCCCCCCCCCCATACTGTCATGTCTAGTTTTTATGTGCATTTGACATGGGCTGGAGACATTGGGGAAGAAGTGCCTCAGCTGAGAAAATGCCCCCAGCAAATTGGCCTATGGAAAAGCCTGTGTGTTATTTTCATAGTGATTGCTGTGGGTGGCCCATCCCACAGGAAGTGGTGCCCCCTCTGGGTGGGTGGTTCCTAATGGTGTCAGAGAGCAGTAGCAAGCCAGTAAGCAGGCTTCTGCTTCAGTTCCTGACTCCAGGTTCCTAGCCAGCTTGAGTACCTGCCCTGATTTCTCTCAGTGAGAGAACACAAGGTATAAGATGAAGTAAACACTTTCTTGCCCACACTGCTTTTGGTCATGGTGTTTTATAGCAATAAAAACCCTAATATACCTTAAAAACAGCTTGCTGGTCTACAAATTTAATTGACACCAACATCAAGATGTGAATACAGATCTCACCATATGATGGCTCCTTCCCATTATACTACCCCTACTTCAGATGCCAGACACAATTGTGGTCCCCCATGTACCCTTTTGTCTGTGCAATAACTCACTTAAAGGTTTTCACAACTTTCCTAGAGCAGCTCACAGAACTCAGGAAGTGGCTATACTGATTTCATTATAAAGGAAGCCATGCTGGAAATCATCAAGATGGAAGAGTACACTGAGAATTGGGTTGCAGAGCCTACAAGTCCTCTCGGTGTTCTAGCTGTCCAGTACACCCCTGTCCACACCAGTCTGGATCCCCTAGACTTCATGATGGGAGTTACTGAGCTACAGGCTATACATGATTGAAATCTCCTTACAACCCTGTCCATCTGCTGAGGTCGGGATGGATGAAAAGTACTTACGCTCATGATTGTCCTTTTCATAACCAGCTGTCTTCCTGGAGCTCGGTATGGATCCTCTGCTATGAGTTGGCTCATTACAGGCAAGAGGTATTTCTGTTTAGGAAATTCTTAGTGCTTTGAAAGTTCTGAGTTAGGTGTGGGGGTGCATACCTGTAATCCCAGGACCTAAGAGGTTGAGGCAAGATGGAAAAGAAATGAGGCCAGCCTAGTTTACATTAGGCTCTGTCCCCCAAATTGAAAATACACACACATATCAAACTAACAAAGATTATATACATATGTTTATATATTTATATGTGTGTATGTGCAAATATATAGATATGGAAGTGTATTTCCTGTAACATCAAAATGTTTTCATGTCGCATCCATGTTATGGCATGTTAAATTTTTTCCTGTCTTATGGCTTAAATATCTATTGTCTGTGTATCCTATGTTTTATTCATCTGTTGGTGTACATTTGGACTGTTTTAGCCTTTCAGTGACTGAATACTATGTGTGAACGTTGCTATGCAGGCTTGATTCTCTACCTTTAATTCATTTAGGCTAGTACTGTTGTTCCTAGAACAGTAGTGACATGATGTCATGGGAATGAAAGTCCTTAGCAGCGAATGGAGGATATGACTCAGTGGCAGATGACTTGTCTCGCATGTACAAGGCACAGTCTACAGTAGTGGGAGGGTGCTGCTCTAGCTTGAATGAGAGAGGCTCCTGTAGCTTCACATATTCGAACGCTTGGTTCCCATTTGGTGGAAGTGTTTGGTTAAGGATTGGAAGGTGTGTAAACTTGGTGGAGGAGGTATGTTACGGGGGGGGGGGGGACTCTGAGGTTTCACAAGCCCACACCAGTCCCAGTTAACTCTCTCTACCTCGTGCTCGTAGGTGGAGATGTGAACTCGCCACTCCTTCTCTGTTGGTATGTCATACCCGCCTACCGCCATGCTCCCCAAACATGACTGTCGTGCGCACATCACTGTGCCTAACTTTCATCGTTGGCTCTTAGGAATCACATTCTGGTCCTTGTGCCTTTGTGACAAGCAGTTTATCAACTGATCTGTCTCCTTGCCTCAGTTTTCTTTTTTTCCCCCTTTTCCACCGTTTTAATGAAACACCATGACAAAGGCACAGCGCTTAAATTGGGGATCACGGTTCCCCCAAAGAAGATGGATGCGCAAAGAAGAACCTCCACCTGGAACTTGCTTTGAATGTGGCAGCGCCAGCCACTGAGCAAAAACTGACTTTAACTGCTGCAGAGACCCCCTTTAGCCTGTGGACACCAGAATGCTGAGGAACGGA